CCCCACACCCACATGCCATTGCTTTCACCATGCCAACAGCCTGCAGCCTAACTTCACAGCTTCACTAAGAATCTTGAAAGACACATGCCAATGCTGCAGATTCTTTAATTTTTGGATCATGAGGCCACATATGCTGTCGTGGAATATCTCCAAATTCCACAGTACTGAAATTCCAGTCAGAGCACACCAATTTTGATGGGTAACATATAAGTCAACTAAACTCAATCAAAATCAGTAACACAAAAGGCTCAACTAGCAAAGAGCAGCTTAGTAAATTCTCAGACAAAGGCTTGACCCCATGATTAGATATAACAATTTTCACAAATCTTCTTTTACTCATTTTGATAATTCTTTGGTTGCAACAAGCAATATAAAACAAATAATTTGTGTACACTAAGGGGGCAGTCTTTTGGCATGACTGGGAAAATGGGGACAATGATAACTCAGGTGGTGGGATTGGTTCTGGGAACATCAAATGCCCATAAAAGAAGTACTATGAACAACTCTGTAAATCATTCAATAAAGTAAAAAATAAAATTAAAGGAGAAAAAAAGAACTGAAGCTTATATGTAACCCTAATTACATTGGGGAGTATTTGTACTTTGTTTTTTTTTTATTTTTATTAGTTCTCCTTTTATTACTATGAGAGTTTACCTAGGGAAGCCTGTATTCAGAAGACAGTAATATAGAATATGCCATAAAATAATATGAGTGGTGGCAATCCATTTTCTCATTACTAAATTCCCAGGGGTCGCATCTGGAGCTGCATTTATTTTTTTATATTTATTTATTTTTTAATAGTGAGGCACCATGAGGTACAGTTGTAGACTTACACATTTTTGTGCTTGGGTTTCGATTATACAATGATCAAACACCCATCCCTCCACCAGTGCGCATTTCCCACCACCACGGATCCGAGCATCCCCTCCCCCCCAGCCCCTATCCCACCCTGCCTCTGTGGCAGGGCATTTCCCTCTCTCTCCTTTTGAGTGCCACGGTCGGCAAAAGAGGCATTGAGTGGCTATCATGCTTGGGCGACAGTCTACCCTCAGCATGCTCTCCCATCATGGGCGGATCCTCCCAACACCCTTTATTTGGTGTTCCCTTCTGTATCACATTTTTGATGGACCCACAGGAAAAATTTTCTAAAGTCTTTCCTTATTTCCATTTAGGTTTGTTGATTTATCCTTTTCAAAATTATGTTTAAAACAGTATTTTTGGGTGAAATTTATCATGCTTGGTAAAATAATGTACTGCATGCATTTCTTCTTGTTTATCGAGGTGTTGCTATGTAAGTGAAATAGAAATAGTTCCTGTCTAAAAGTACTCTTCATTGATTTTTAGTGTACTATTGTTAAAGCTAGATATACAGAAAATACATATATGAGCCAAGAGTCTTCATTATGATGAAATAAAAATCTCAAGTGAAGGAACTGGAAGACAGCATGTTGAGTGAAGTCAGACAGAAGAAGAGGGATAAACACAGGATGATCTCACTTATTGTTGGTATATAGAATAACTAGATGAGGAAACGACTTGTGACCTCTAACCCTTTAACTATCTCCCTTGCCCTTCAAATTTGAATTTTAGTGAAAATATAAACAGTTATAATTGGATATATTTTATTCTATGAAAAATAAGATTCTAGCATTGAAAATTAATTTGACTTGAATTTACATTTTCATAAAATATTTACTACACATCAAAATTACGATCTTATCTCTTCTTTGTTAAATTTATTTTCCTTTTCTAATATTAGAATAGTAAATAAATAATACCTTTTTCTTTGATCCACAGTATATATTAGACTGACCTATTCAAGAATTTTATTATGGTATAGATAACAAAGCTATTTCTTCGACGTTCTTGAAGGCGTTCCAAGCCGCTCTCTTCCTCCTGCGCAGCTCGGGTGCCAGGTCATTTGTCATGTTGACCTCTCGACCTAGGTAGACATAGCTGTTGCATTCGAAGATGGTCATTCCATTGAGAGCGAATGGGGCGTCAGGAACAAGGCTGTTTCTCATAAACATTGTCTTCGTAAGATTCAGCTGTAGTCCTACCTTTCCACACTCACGGTCAAAGTCGGCCAGCATTTGTGCCGCTTGGCTGATGTTTGGTGTTATTAAAACAATGTCATCAGCAAAGTGGAGGTGGTGTAATTGCCGACCATCTATCTTCACTCCCATTCCTTCCCATTCCAGTCGTCGCATGATGTTCTCGAGGGTGGCACTGAAGAGTTTCGGTGAAATGGTATCACCCTGCCGCACCCCTCTCTTGACATCAACGATCACTTCTTTGTAGAATGGTGAGATCCTGGTAGTGAATCCGCAATAGAGCTCACGGAGGATCCTGATGTATTGGGCTTGAATGCCCTGATTGACTAGGGCTTCAATGACCGCTTCCGTCTCAACAGAATCAAAGGCCTTCTTTAAATCAATGAACGTTAAGCAGAGCGGCATCTTGAACTCCCGAGAAACCTCAATGAGCTTGGTTATCGTGTGGATATGGTCGATGGTGCTGAATCCTTTGCGGAACCCTGCTTGCTCGCATGGTTGTCCTTCATCTAATGTTCTGCCAATCCTATTCAGGATGACTCGAGTGAACAACTTGTAGATGACAGACAATAGGCAGATCGGGCGATAGTTGCCAATGTCATGGATGTCTCCCTTCTTGAACAGTAGTACGGTCCTGCTGGTTTTCCACTGGGACGGAACCTTGCATTCAGACAGGTAGCGAGTGAAGAGCCGAGCCAGTGTATTGATGAGTACTGACGGCAGGTTCTTCAGGTGTTCAGGTCTGACCTTGTCTGGGCCGGGTGCTGTTTGTTTCTTTACCGACGAAATGGCGTGTCGGATTTCGGAGGGGAGAACGTTGGGAACAACATACCCATCCTGTGGAATTTGGTATGTTGGCAAGTGGACATGGCTATCGAAAAGATTTGAGTAGAAGTCATGGATAATCTTCTCCATTGCCGTTCTGGAGGATGTGATGGATCCATCAGGACGTCGGAGGGCAGTCATCTTGGTCTTATAGTTGGCGAAGGACAGGCGGGCGTTACGAATACTTTTCCCGGCTTCTGCCGCATCTACCAGTACTTCTGCTCTTCTCTCTTTGAGGTCTTCCTTGATCGCATCTCTGCACTGCTTTGCAAGCTCGGACGTTAGCTTGCGGTTGCCTGAGGCATGCGCCAAACCACGCTGGCGAATTAGCTCAAGAGTTTTCGAAGATAGGCGACTTTTTGTGGCTATCTCTCTCTTGGCGTTCCTCGCACATTCATGGAGGTGCTGAACCAGTCGATCGTATTCCTCGTCAATGTTGTCAACAATGGCATCTTCCCATGTTGCTGCAATAGTACCAAAGAGTTCCCAGTTGGTGGTCATTCTGGGAGTTCTCTTTTTGAACTTTGCAGCCCTTTCTCCCCGCTCTGTGAAGTAGAATTTTGCACGAAGGAGACGGTGGTCCAATCCCGTTCGAAATTTTGGGACAACAGTGACATCAGTCAGGCAAAACCGTCGATTGAATATGATGTGGTCTATTTCGTTGTGGAATCGTCCAACGGGAGACTCCCACGTCCATCGTTTAGATTCTGCCTTCTGGAACTGTGAGTTACCATGGATGGTCTTGGTCGACAAGGACGAAGAACCTCCGGCTCCGGGCACATCTCTTTGATTCCACTGTTCTTCCTGCATTAACATATGCCTCAGAGACCTGGGCCCTACGCAAACAAGATGAGAACGCCATTCAGGTCTCCCAAAGAAGAATAGAAAGAGCTATGCTTGGAATATCACGTTTCACTCAAATGAGAGAACGAATCCAGAGTTCTGACATCCGTCGACGATCAAGGATCAGGGACGCTGTCTCATTTGCCAAGGTGTCGAAAATCAGATGGGCTGGTCACGTAATGAGATTTAAAGACGACCGCTGGACTAGAGCTGCTACTGATTGGATTCCATGGGATGTCAAGAGACCGCGTGGCCGCCCACCTACCAGATGGTCAGACTTCTTCGTCAAGATCATGAACGATCGGTTTGAGGCCCTTCATGTTCCCGGAGCGAACAGATGCCATTGGGCTACACTAGCACGCGACAGGGACCAATGGAGACGTTACTGGCACCCGCTCGAGCAAATCGACGACTAACGGGAAGTTAAGTGATTAAGTGATAGATAATAAGGTTGTAGCAGTGTTAATATTTATGGGATTGCTGTACAAAGTTACTATACTCCACAATCACCAAAGTGTTCAAGATCCTCCATTACTATCCCCAAGATGCCTCTAGTCTGCCTCAATATATCCCTACTACTTGGTAATCTGAGTTTTGGAATCCAAGGGTTTGCCATTTTTTGACACTGTTTATTCCCTTGTTTTACCTTTCCGTAGCATAGATGAGTGAAATCATTCAATACTTGTCCTTTTCTCTGACTTATTATGCTTAATGATACCTACCCATTCCATCAACAGTAAAGCAACACATAGATTAATCTTTTTGCCCAGCTGCATAATATCACATTATGTATATGTACTACAAATTCTTTATCCGTTCATCATCATTGACATTTGAATTGTCTATGTGGGCTATTATACTTAGTGTAATACTGAACATATCTGTGCATATATCTTTTTCAATGAATGGAATTGTGTTTTGGGGTTAGATGTCAAGTAGAATCACAGGGTAATATGGAAGTTCTGTCCTTATTTTTAAAGAAATTTCCTTGCTTTTAAAAAAGGTATTCAGACTGTGTTAAAATTGTTGCAACTCTATAGTGATAAGAACACATAATCATTTGATAATGTCAATAAAGTTTTAAATTATGTTTCCTTAAAAAGTATACAGTTCTTCATTCTTCTGCTTTATGAAGTAAATCAGAAAAATGATTTCTTTAGTTTTCAATTAAGGAAAAAAAAACAAATATGCTTAGGAATGTTACCATGAATTCTATTGGAAAGAATGGACAAAAATACAAACATTTTCATCAAAATGATTAAATTACTATATAATTACCTCTGTGCCAGTATCAGGATTCTTAACTGAAGCTGCCCCACACTTTAACTTGAGTTTTGACACAAGCTGCTCAAAATCTTTTACTTCACTGAAGCGATATGCTCTTTTTCCTTTGATGCTAATGACAACAGATTTGTTGGTATCATTTATCTTATCTATAGCTAAAACCTGGAGGGTAAAAACATACATGAATTAATCACATTTTCTAAGCTGTTGACACCTTAATCAAAATGTATTTTATGTACACTTTGGTGGCTAAAAGATTTGGTCCAGTTGTATGACCTATGAAGAAATAGACTAGGAATATGAATTATACCACGAAGGTAAAAATAATCTTAAAGCATGTTATTAATTTCTCCAAAAAAAGGTTTAACTAGCATGTAGCCTGTAAAAATAACACAATAAAGACAAAACCATTTTAATAAAAATATAAATTACAAACAAAAAATGACAATACATAATTAAAAATTAAGTCCTGCAATGGGCTAGAGTGATAGCACAGCGGTAGGGCGTTCGCCTTACAAGCAGCCAACATGGCCGACCCGAGTTCGATTCCTCCGCCCCTCTCGGAGAGCCCTGCAAGCTACCGAGAGTATTCGATATGCCAAACACAGTAACAACAAAGTCTCCAATGGAGACGTTACTGGGCCCGCTCGAGCAAATCGACGATCAACGGGAGGGCCTTTACCTTTATAAGTCCTGCAATGAACTGAGAAAAAAAAACAAGAAACTTATATACTTGTGGAAAACTATAGTAGCTACTGGAGTAAATGGAAGGTGGATATGAGGAATGCAGAGAGGTCTCTTTGGTAATAAGGTGGTAGAGAACTTTGATGGTAGGTGAGTGATTCGTATATAAATATATAGGTGTCAAATTATATCCCGTAAATTATATAATGCTGTAAACTAATGATAAATCAATTTCAAAAGTGGGGGCATTATGTGATGCACATTAATCCCAAATGCCCAACACGGAGTCAACTTAAATATCCGTCAACAGATAGCTAGATTTAAAAAAAAATCTGTTGTATATATATTAGATGAAATACTATTGTGCCATTAAAAGAGATGAAATTGTGTCTCTTGGAACAGACAAAACGGATGGATTTTGAGGGGACTGGGAGACGTGAAATGAGAAAGTGAAAGACACTTATCAGATGGTTTCACTCGTTGGTGAAATTACTAAAGCAAACAAACAGGACACAAACAGCAAAACGATCACCTAGAATCAGTAAACATTACAGTGATTACCAGAGGGATGGAAGAAAAGTGGGAGGAACAAATAGAGTGCTAAATATAAATAGAATGCTAGAAACAGAGATAGGCGAGAAAATGAGAGCTAGAGTTAAGGGAAAAAATGTAGTATATGAAATCAAATTTGATATTTTGGGGTTATGTTTTGGTTTGGGGCGGGGAAGCTGTGCATATGTAGAGTGGGTATACTTTCAATTTCTTTTTGTTTGTTCTGGGACCATACCCCATGTTGCCAATGGCGTACTCCTGGTTCTATGATCAGGGATCACTCCTGGTGGAACTGAAAGAACAAATATGCTGGGAATTGAAACCAGGTCAGTCATGTTTAAAGGCAAGTGACCTACCCACTAGTGGTACTACTGTGTCAGACCCTGTACTTTTAATTTTCCTGTGGACCTAAAATTGCTTTGAAAAGATAAAACCTTAAGAAGTGGAAAACAGGCTATGGGACACATTTGGTCTAGGATCAGAAAACAAATAAATAAAATCAGTGCTGAAAATTTATTTCAGAATTATACAAAGGCTACCAATTTTCTCTGGATCATGTGCTTCAATGTGATAGTGTTGCTTATATTGTAAATGTGTGAGTGACCAAATTCCATTTTGAGTCATCCCAAACCAGTATCTTGTTTGTAAAAATTATTTTCCTTTCTATTTTCATTCACAGTAAGGACTCTTATCCATGTATTAAGAGTACTCATCCATGTCCTGAAGAGTACTCATCGTGAAGTATAACACTAAACTTAAAAAAATAATCACTTAAAATTACTTAATGGATGTTGCATATTGAGTTTTTAATCATTTACAGCATGAAGGGACATTTTAATCTGTGAATGATAACATTTTCGAACTAAAAACTGGTATGCAATCAAATTTACAGTACCTCTCGTAATGGGATGATTACACTACAGAGATTACCATCCTGGCTAGCAAAGCAGACATAGTTTTCTGAGATGCACATTTTCCCATGAGTATTGAAGTGGCTGAATGGTACCCATAAGAAACATTCATGTACTTCTTTCAAAGTCTCCTCTTTGGGCAGTCTAAAAAAAGCATTAAACTGCTCACTATGGGCTCGATTTTCCAGACCCCTGTAGGAAAGAAATAAAAGGCAGGGGGAATCAAACGATGGCTTCTAAAGGATATTACCCATATTAATCTAAATGTACTATAAAGCAAATAATGAATTCCTAACAAACTCCTATTGTTTAACTTGTAGATAATAATGCACAAAAGTGGACCCCCAGGAGCGGCTCTCCAGCAGGGCCATGGCACCAGAGGCACGCGGACTTAATCTAGAGCCCAGCAGCTTGTGGCAGAAATGTGAATGGACTATGCATTAAACTACAGTGTCATGCCCCCCTGGGAGGGAAAGGGTGACTGTCTCTTCCGCCTTCCCCCTCCCTCCCCACACAGCACAGCAGCCGGCCGCCTCAGAGCTTTTTGGACAGGCAGGTATGAGCTGGCGGTGACAGGGCAACTGCAGCCTCATGGGAAGGAGGATGGAACCGGCTCGTCCTTCACGCCCAACTGAGGCCTTGAGTTGCCCCCATGAGCGGCTCTCCAGCACGGCCATGGCATCAGACACACAAAAACCAATATCATATTTATCGGGCTCTTGGCAGAGATCCCTCCAGACTTAATTAGTAAAATATCAGAAACCCAAAATCATATGGTTTTCATAACCACTAATAGAAAACAAATTATTTCACAATGCCTTTTCAGCAGTTCTGATTGTTGGGGGGAAATTCCAAACAATAATGGTGCATCTTTTGTCAAAATAATGAATGTAATCAAAGTAGAGAGAGAGTTAAGTAAAAATCATCTGCCTCACAGGCATCGGGAGGGATGGGGGGGCTATACTGGGGTTCTTAGTGATGAAAAAGAATTACTGGTGAGGGGAGGGGTGTTTGATCATTGTATGACCAAGACTTAAACCTGAAAGCTTTGTAACTTTTCTCACAGTGATTCAATAAATAAATTTAAAAAATAATAATGCACAAAAGTTAGAGACAAAACAGGTCTTTGAACCATCTGTTAAGCAGTGATTTTCTGCAAGATTGTTATAACCGTACTACATATTCATAATATGTAAATATGGCTAAAGACTATCTTGACAATCATTTTTGTATCTGTCAATTAAAAAATCAAGTTACCCAGTTCAAACAAAATAAATAACAAAAACTGAAGGCATCAAAATACAGAATGGAAGAACAGTCTACTGAATTTTATAAGTATGTGAAGCAAAAGTCTTAATAGATTTAAAATATATTTAAACTGGGGCTGGAGAGATGGTACAGTGGATAGGGCATTTGCCTTGTACACGGCCAACCTGGGTTCAATACCCAGCATCCCATATGGTCCCCCAAGCACCACCAGGAATAATTCCTGAGTGCAGAGCTAGGAACAACCCTTGAGCATCATCTCCAGGTGTGGCCAAAAAAGCAATATATATATATATATATATATAAATAAATATATATATATATTTAAAGTGTAGGCAAAATACAACAACATTGCTTATATAGTATTGGTAAAGTTTAGGTGTCAATAAATACATATGACTTGCTAACTGATATATATATATATATAAATGAAAACTTAAAATAGCACAGTTTTTCTAGAGATACTAAATACTTGTGCTGAGCAACAATGTCATCTGGGGTAATAAATAAATTATGCAAGTTATAGCTCAAATCCAATGAAGTAAAAACTAAATTCATCTTTTCAGCAAATACTACTGATATGTGCAATACTTTACGTTGACTTCAAAAATAATTCTAATGTGAACAGAATATAATTTTTAACCTCATATAATTTGTAATTTGGTAGATTATTTAACTATTATTTGTATGAATTAAATTTTATTCATATTATTTATATGAATTAAAGTATATCCATGCTATATTAGTTTAATGGGCAAAACACTGTAGAATAATATGTATTTGATTTCATTCATTTTTAGCAATTATTTTTTAAACTCATATATACTAAGGCATAGGTTACACACTGTATTTAACCACTGTCATTGTCTCCTATTGTTTAAATTATAGAACACATATGAAAAAATGAAAAGCCAAGCAGTAAATATAGTTCATTTTAAGAAAAATATCATCTGGAAACTAATCTATTATTCTTAACTTACCAGGATTCATATATATATATATATATATATATAATTTTTGGTAAGCTCTCTTCAAATGCACATTGATATAATATATTTACTATATCTTATTTATTACAATGAAAAATTTATAATTATCGTTTAGGAGATATTTTAAGGGGAATCAGATAACTAAAAATTTATGTTTAATGGTGGCCAATCTAGGGATAAACCATAAAAACAAATGCCTAACATTTATATTATAACAAATAAGATCCTTAATCCTTTTAGAGTTCTATTTATAAATCTAGCATACTAGGACCTAATTTTGGCAATAAAGTATAAGAAGTTTTTCTTGCTAATCTATTTCACCCAAAAGCAGGCAGTATCACAAAGGAATTATTATGTACACAGATTTTAGAGAATCTTGGGAATGAATAAAAGGAACAATTGTACCAGTTAAGGCTTGCAGTAATCATACAACCCTCAAGGACACTTATTGTGACCTATCTATAAGACTGCAGCTTAGATTTCACTTACACTTTTCCTTACAGTCTATACCCTCATCCTCCTTGACAGAAGCTGCTTTCACTAGCTATTTCTGGATTCTCTCCTCTCTCCCTCCCTTGCTTTGGCACGCTTATTTTAGTCAACAGCTATGAGTGGTGAGGAGAATGAATGGGTTCTGGTCAGTTTCACCAAACCAAATATCATGGCAAAAAGCTATCAGAGGCTTCTGATGTAGGTAGTGATAATGATTAACGCTAATCTAGTGCTTTATATTTTACAGAGTGCTTTTGAGGCCTAGAAAAGCACTTTTAAGCTCAGTGGCTTAAAAAATCTGTCCAGGAAACACCAGCCAGGAGGTCAGCTCTCAAACCCTGGTATCACCACATGCACCACAATGACCCTGACAGTCTCACAGTCTCATCTCTGGCAGGAGGAAAACATGTTTTTATATATTATATTGCTTATTCCCCACATGCATTATTTTCTTTGTCGGGGGTGGAGGGAGTTTCGGCCACACCTTACAGTTTCCAGAAACAATTCCTGTCGCTGTGGTAAAGAGTTCTTGGGGGACTGTTTGTGGTGTTGTGGATTAAACATGGGTCAGTCACATGCAAGGCAAACACCTTTTTCCTCTGCTATCTCTCCAGCCTCACATAAATGCACTTCGAAGTGGAAATAACAGAAGAGGAAATTGAGGTCCAGAGAGATTATGATACATCCAAGTGTTATGGTAGTCTCATTCTAAAGTTCATGCTCTACTTACTCTACTAACTTACCTATTTATGGAAAAAAGCCACTCCCTATAGATATGTGTAAAAATAAATAATACATGTAACAACTTCAGACCTCAAATTATCCAGACAACTTGCAGAGAAATTTAAGGTTAGATTAAGCATGCATATAAAAATCTCTACATTTATAAAGAACTGGGAAAATCCCGCCAAGATCTCAAGAACTAGCTTTCATATCTAGCATCTACTCCTTAGAATTAAATTTAATGGAGATGCTATTTATGTAATGTATATGAATACATAAAATATCCCAAATACTAATGATAACCATCAAAGAAAACCTATATTACACAGAAGTATGATTGTACTTACATCTTTTAATGCTAATAAATTCTACACTTTGGTCAAATAATACTTTTAAAACATTAATTAAGCTTTGATTACCTCTTGGTAATTTGTAGAGGATCATCGAGGACTGGGTCATTATCAAATGTTTCCTTATCAAAAAGTCTCTTTATAGCATAGTTGGCCAATTGTTCCATCAGAAGGTATGTCTGGTTTATATGCAAGAACATTGAAAAGTAGTGATTTTCTCCTTGGGAACACACATGAATGCTCTCAGTCAGTAAGACATTGGAGCTCTTTTCAAGTTTTGAAATGGCATCCCAGGAGATAATGAGTTTTACTGCAAATAAAGAATTATAGGGAGATAATTAAAATTAAGTAAAATTTATATTTTACTTAACTAATTAAAATTTTCAAAATTGACTTATGGTTATCAATAAAGTCTGTTGAATCAACCACATCAAAAACACCATGGACAACTAAAATACTTTAGAGTTGATGGTTAGTTAAAAATTTGAAGCATAGGGCCAGAGCAATTGTACAGCATGTAGGAGCACTTGCCTTGCATGTGACCGATTGTGATAAAATCCCTGGCACACCATATGGTTCCCCAAATCCTTCCAGGAAATTAATCTCTGAACACAGAGCCAGGAGTAAGACCTGAGCACAAAGCTAGGAGTAAGCCCTGAGCACTGCCAGATGTAGCCAAAAAACAAACAAAATTTTGTGGTTCACTTGTTTGTTTTGGAGCCACATCTGGTGACATTCAAGGATTATTCCTCACTCTGTACTCAGGAATTACTCTTAGTGGTACTCAGGGGACCACATGGACTACCAGGGATCAAGCCTGAGTCAGTCACATGTAAGGAAAGTGCCCTATCTGCTGTACTATCTCTTCAACCTCAACACATTTTTTGAAGTATAACCATGAGCATATAATTATGGACACTATAAAGAACAAACAGAATGTTATTGAAAAAATAAACTGTATTTAAATGTTATTTTACATAATTACCATCATTTGATGCAAATTCTATCTGGATGTGATAAACGATACTGTTGATCCCTTTTTTGTACCTGTTGCAGTTTGGGTACTATGGCATTTCTTTTACTGTTGTCAGGGATCAAATACAGTGCTCACACATTCAAGGCAAGTTCTCTACCATTTATCTAAATCCCTAGACCAATATATATAGAAAGAGGGAGAGAGGGTAGGGGAAAGAGAAAGTTTTGCAGTGACAGGGATCAAACACAGGGCCTCACATATGAGAGGCATGTGCTCTACAATAAAGCCATATCCCCAGTTTCTGGGTTTTATAATGACATTGTATTTCCAAACAAGTACTAAAACAGAAACAAACAAGAAGTTTAACAACAGGGAAAGAAGCAATAATATACTGGATTGCTCCATTATTTAATATTCATTTAGTCCCCCACAATATTTAAGGAATCCTACACATACTTTTAATATTTATTTTCCACAACCAGGCTAAAAAGTACTCTTTCTCCTGATGAAATAAACCTTTTAATATCTAGCAATAATTGCACTTTATATAAGGGCTAGAATGTATCTCAGTGGAAGAGAGGTTGAGCTGCATACTCAGTACCCTGGTTTTCATCCCAAGCACTGTACAAAACAAAAAAACAGAAAAAATTACTTTTAATACCAGCACTTTATATACAACATAAAACCACCACATAATTGATAGGGCAGTCAGAAAGCTCCAAGTTCTGGTAAGCAAATGAAACTACTTACTTTCTGATCCCAACAAAAAAGAATAGAAGCTCAGAAAATTGGTGCTTAGATAAAGCCATCCCTGGCAAGGAACCCGTCCTTTCCAGTAACTGCAGGAGTAGTAGGTGACTAACTTCTCTTGCTCTGGCAAACCAAAGCATTTTTCAAATTTCAAAAGGGCTTCCCGAAATTTCTCTGGATCATCTTCTTTCGCAAAAGATTGCTTTCCCTCTTCAGCAATTAACCCCTAAATGAATCAAAATATGTCCTGAAAATTAATCATTAGCTACTAAGAAAAATACATTCTATACATTCAAATAGTGCTTTAAAATGGAATATAGCCAGGGGCTGGAGACATAATCCAGCAGATAATGTGCTTGATCTCATATAACTGATCTAGGTTCAATCCCCAGTACCCCAAATGGTTCCCTGAGACCACAGAACAAGCAATAAGCTCTGAGCACAGCCCGCTGTGACCCCCATATAAAAAACAAATAAACAAAAAAAACTAGGTACATAGATGTGTATGTGTGTGTGTGTATATATAGATATATATGTGTGTGTGTATATATAGATATATATGTGTGTGTGCATATATATATATATATATATATCACTGTCATCCCTTTGTTTATCGATTTACTCGAGCAGGCACCAGTAATGTCTACACTCCTCCCAGCCCTGAGATTTTAGCAGCCTCTACTTACTCATCTTTCCCAACGCTGCCATATTGAAGGCTCTTTCAGGGTCAGGGGAAAGAGACCCATTATTGTTACTGGTTTTGGCATATGGGTAGCTTGCCAGGCTCTGCCAGATACAAAGAAGCAGGGACCAGAGTGATAGTGCAGCAGGTAGGGTTCTTGCCTTGTATGTGACTGGTCTTAGTTCAATCTGAGGTACCATACATGGTCCCCTGAGCCCTCTGGAGTGATTCCTGACTGCAGAGCCAAGAGTAAGCCCTGAGAAAAACCAGGTGTGGCCCAAAAAACCAAAATAAGAAGAAAAATATCAAAGGAGCAGATTTTTTTCAGTTTTATAGCTAGACTTTTTCTAAAAGGCAGCTATCACAAAAATAGGTGCTACATGTAAGCATTTTAATTCACTGAAGAGTTGATTCAAATTCTAAACTTAAGAGGGATTAAAGTTAAAATATCCTTAAGATCCCGCCTTCTCCAGATGGAATCCCGGTGACCATGAGCTTCTACAAGCATGGCTCTGGCATATGGGTACCAGGGTATTTTTTCCGAACTGCAATGGGGCCGCCCCGGCTCCCAGGCAACCTCTGATTACAGAAGTCATGCCCACAACTCGCCCCCCAGTGCCATCTTACAGCACACAGCAACAAAGAAGAAAACCGGCTGGAGGGCCCCACAGCTCCCGGAGAATGCTCTGGGCCCCAAACAGAGCCATCACTGGAAGGTCCCAGATGGGGTAGGTGCTGTCTTTCCGCCTTCTCCAGATGGAATCCCGGTGACCATGAGCTTCTACAAGCATGGTTCTGGCATGCGGGTACCAGGGCATTTTTTCCTAACCACGCGGCCTCATAAGCGGCATTTCCTTATATGCAAACTGATCAATGGAAAGTGAAACATCCAGCATTTCTCACTGAAAATCAGGCATGAATGGTGGTGGGGAAATCTGAGCAAAAGATAATGCTCAACCAAAATGCATCTGGACTGTGTATTTAACTATGGTCCTATGCCACCCTGGGAGGGGAAGGGTGTCTGTCCCTCTGCCGTCCCCCTCTGCAGGGGTGACATGGTGTTCTGCATTTTTTAGAGCGTAATGAACAGCCAGGTATGTGACTGCATTGATGAGGCACGTGGGGCTTTATGGGATGGGGGGGTGGAATCGACCCTGCTCTTCGCCATGACAATGCTCCGGGTTGCTACCCTCAAATGCCTCCTCTGGCTTTTGACTAACCATGAACCCAGAGGCACACATACTAATCTCGGAACCCAGGGGCTTCTGGCAGTAATCCCTCTCGGTATATTACTAAAATATTTGAATTCCAAATTCACGTGGCCACTATTGTGGCCACACAACATCATATGCTCTCCATAATCAACATTAGAAAACAAATTTTCTAATGATGTCTTTGTGGCAGGTCTGAATGTTGGGGAAAATTCCAAATAACAGTGGTGGGTCTTTTGTTGTAATATTGAATGTGATCAATAGAGAGAGAGAGAGAGAGAGAGAGAGAGAGAGAGAGAGTAAAGTGGAAATCTGCCACACATGTGGGAGGTGGGTGGGAGGGGAGTATACTGGGGTTCTTGATAGTGCAAAATGTGCACTGGTGAAGGGACAGGTGTTTGATCATTGTATGACCGACCGAGACTTGAACTGAAAGGCTTTGTTACTGTTCTCATGGTGATTCAACAAATAAATAAAAAATATATTTAAAAAAAGGGAAAAAAGTTGTTTTACAGTTACTACAAAAAATATCCTTAAGAACATTCACAAGGTTACTAAAGACTAGCCATCAACTTTATAATTTTCTTTAGCAATATTTTGGGAATTTGTATGTCTCAGCCAATCCTAAAAGGTATCTGTAGAACAATGATCTTTAATTCAGTTTTTGATATGCAACAGAATCAAAAAATGTATATTTATAAAATATATTCATGCCGCTTACTCTTATCTTTCCTTGTACAAAATTAGTAATATCTTCATTTGAATCAAACACAGACAAAGTCTTCATTATATTTTGTTCCAACCAGTCCCAATGTTTGGTTATTTCTTCTCTGTTGGCCCCTGATCAATCATATAAGAGAACAAAGAATCAAGTAAAGCTCCAGAACAACACTGCTCTTGAAGTTGAAGTTGATAAGCTCAGTTTAACAGTAAATATATATTTTTTTCATTTTCAAAAATGATGGCCATGAAGGATGAAGGCAATACATATATTCTCTACTTCATCCCTCCATGTAGACATGAACAATATTTTCATTATAAATAGAATAATGCATTTAATTAAACCAGATAAAATAAATGCAACTCACACGAAGAGATAAACAGGATGGGTTACTACAGGATCAGTGTGTTTTAAATGACCATGCAGAAAACCACAGTATATATAATTTAACACACTGCAATATACATAATTTAATATTAAGTCCTCGAACCAGAATACTGTCCTATAATCTGTGACTGATTATAACATGTCATGTAATAACACACGTGCTATGTAACAGTATGCATTTGTACTGCCAAAATGTGGATTTCAATTGAGGCAACTATCTTTATCATAATGTCTTAAAGTTTTGCTCAGGGCCACACTATTCATTAAAAAGCATAGTAATCACAGGGGCTGGAAAGATACAGTACAGTGAATAGGGTGCTTGCCTTGCACATAGCTGACCCAGATTTGATGTGCAGGACTCCATATGATTCTGAGTCCAACAGGCATGATCCCAGAGTACAGAGCCAGAAGTAAGCCCTGAGCACAATTGGGTGTGATCCAAAGCCAAAACACAATAAAACAACAACAAAAACCAAAAATGCATAGTAATCTTACAGAAATCTCATGAAAGAGGTTAGAATCTCTGTGGCAAAGTTAATTCATGTGAAGTGCTGAACCAATTTTAGGTGATTTATTGAGGGTAGATTAAGAATTACGTTAGTTTTGGGTTTCTTTGGCTTTAAATAACTTCCTATCTATCAATATCCTATAGCCTACATAATCTTTAACATATCCCCAGCACTGTGTGTTACATAAATTTCATTCAAAAGATTCACACTTCTTAGTATATTTTATAATACATGGACTATTATAAATTAAAAATGAAGTAATACTACATAATAGCCTACTGTCTCAAATTTCGTTAGTGACCATAATGAGTTTAATAACTTTCTATGATGAACCACTCTAAGTCAGGGGAGAAATTTCAAGCCGGTACATGGTCCTTTTGGCATATGGGAACTTCAATTAGTTTGAAAATACCTTTTTTAGCATTAGGTTAATTTGAGGGAAAACATTATATAATCATGCTTTTATTTTAAGGTAGAAAGGACAGTTTTTCTAAGTAAGACAGAAGTCTCATGATGTCAGCAGGTGTAATGTCTTCTTCATTTAGTTTAAATGGCAGCACACATGGAGTTTAGGAGGAAGATATGAAAAACAAGTCACATGTCTTAAAAAATAACCATATGTACATTCTACATTCACACATGAGTTATCTACAACAGTGTTTCCCCAAATTGGTCAATAATTTCCCCTGGGGAGTGCTGGGATGATGGTGGGGTGTTAATTAGTATCCATGGCTGCAACTGAGGTCCATTGAGCACTGTTTTCCTGAAATAGGAATCGTAAGCCAAACATGTTTGAGAATCTCTGACCTAGAAATTCATGTGAATCCTTTTAAAATCTATTTGAAACGAAGAAGGAAAGAATGAAAAGGTAGTCATTTAACATTAAAAAGGCCAGAAATCTGGTGTTCTAATGATAACCAATACTATAATAGTATAATAAAAAGAAGTAATTATCATTGGTTTTGTCTATTTGGGGGTTTGGGTCACACAGCGTAACAGGCTCTGGCATTCAAATACTTTGACCTATCTCCCAGACACATTGTCATTTTTGTTATTGTTGAGTTGCTGGAAAAAATTGGAAAAGTTGGAGAAAAATATCCATATTAGTATCTCAATAACAGTAGCATATTTATATAGAATTACCCATAAGTTCTTCCATTGTGTTTCAAAGATATAACAAAAAGTTGTTCATATTTCATATTTCCTAAAAGAAACAATCTTTAGTTTTGGGTTTGATTTTATTCATCTGAGTTACAGAGTTCAAACAAAGTAATTCAAGGAAAAGTTCTCATACTTCCAGGAGTAGGATGAAACAGAAGTAGACTGAATAAATGAGTCATACAGCAATAGCATTAACCAAAATCTGAAACAGCACCAGTGAATACATGCTTCAGGCTTCTCATGATAATGATTTTTTTAAAAAAAACTAGAATCTGTAATCCTTAACAATTAAGTTATTCTTATGTCAGAGTGGCAGAGGAGTCATTCATAAATCTCAAAACATTTTGCATGTTAAACAATTTTTAGTTTCTTAGTATGCAATTTCTTAGTATTCTCATTTGTTAAAATTATGTTTTAAAAATATACTTACCACATGCAATTGACAAGTAAACTTGAGAATCAGGTGTCTGATGTAGGATGCGAAATGGAGCTACTTTTGCAGTTGAGTCTAAGACTGAATCAAGTGTCCCAACCAGAAGCCCTATTGTAATAAAGAGAAAGGTGTATAAAGATTTTTACCAGAGATAAAAACAATAAAATATCCTGTTATATGATAAACAACTAGTGGATGCACCACTTATCTTCTATTCCAAAGTTACCAGTTAGAGAATTTTCTTAAAAAATATTCAGAGGGTCTGTATTTTCTTTCAACCTAGAATTGTCAAACTCAATTGTCCAAAAAAATCACAATATACTTGCAGTAATCAAATACCACTTTCAGAAAGTTGTAGGCGTAAAGGTTAAGACTGCAGATTCTGATACCAGACACTTCTTGGGTTTGTCTGGATCTTGGCTCTGTCACTTGTGTCAAGTTAAGCAAGCTGATTTATCTTTCCTTCATTCCCATTTGTATTATAGGGGGGTTAAAACTTAAAACTAAGTTTGAAAACAAATGAGTTATTGATAGATGTAAAACTCTTAGACAATGTTTGGCACATTCATTCTAAAAAGAATCTAAGAAAATGTTGACTATTTAAATAAGTAAAAATTTTGAGTAATTAAATACTAAGTTTAAGGAATTTTTAACAATGAATTCCTCTATTTGGAACTGAAAGGTTTTGATGTTTTAGTTCTACCTCATTTATCTAATTATATTTCTAAATATAATTTAAATCTATTCCTACCTAGAATAAATTTTGCCATTTGAAAAATTCTCCCATATTAATCTTATCTCTATCTAGATTAATAACTAACTCTGAGGACAATAACCTTGTCTTCTTCCTCTAGGTTTGCATGCCTAATTTTCAACATACAACCCCTAGCAACAGGAACAAATTTTGTTGACTCAACAAAGTAAATAAATCTACTTTCCTTTTCTGGAAGATTTGATTATTTGAGTACTGGCTTTGTTTTATGATGTACTTCCCTTTAAATTTAGCTACAAATTCTATAGGAAAATTTAAAATCAATTATAAAGTAGAATACTAGGAAAATTCTCTATCTTTACTGACTATAAAGAGTTAAGATTTTAAGCAAGTCTTGAATTAGAATACAGGTAATCTGGTAGATATGAGGTAGAAAATTATTGTCATAGAAGAAATCAGAAGAGAAGGAGATAGAACAAAAAGATAAAGTAAAATCTGACTCAGTTGAAAGGGTGAGAGTGGTTGCAATAATCAGTAAAAAGCAAAAATAAGGGTCACAGATGCAGCATAATACCAATTAGCAATCCCATAGAGGATTTTGACAGTAAAGTAGCAATCAATAAGATTTTTGGGGGGGCGGCTATAGAGACAACTGAACTAACCGGATTGCCTTCTTTGCATACTGAAAGCCTGGGTTTGTTCCCCTGTATAGCATGTTTCCTTTAGCACTGCTAGGAGTGATCCCTGAGTACTGAATTAGGAGTATCCCCTGAACAACTTGTTGCCCACCACCCATAAAAACCCCAAATATTTTGGCAATAGTAACATGTGCATATTACAGGGAAAAAAGTTACCTGTTAAGAAAAAAATTATGGTATAAATCAAAGACTTTAACACTTTGATGAGAAACAAGGAAGTCCAAACAAATACTACGAAAGGGAAAGTAAAGGGAATAAGAGCACAGGAATAAGAAAAGACAGAGCAGCTAGAGAGTAAGAAAAGACAGAGAAAGCAACTATATTTAAACTTATAATGCAATTTGGTGAGTTTCCGAGTGATACTCAGAGGGTTTAGGGCTACTTCCAGTTTTTCTTTGGTCAACCAAGTCAGCATTGGCCACGTGCACTTCAATCCTTGTATTATTTCTCTAGTTCCTTATAATGAGGAAATTACTGGAAGGTTTTAGGATAAGAGGAAACCATTCTATCACCAGTGCTAATTCATCAGCAAAGCACATAATTCATATGTGAGACCTAGGGTTTCTTCCCTGGAACAACATTAAAAATGTAATAATTCTACCATCTTCAGCAAGGAGTGAGACATTTGAGACTTTGTCAAAAGATGAAAGGTTAAAAACAAAAGTGGAGTTCCTCAAAGGCTAAGTAAAATTAAAAGCTGAAACATATGTGACAGCTTCTTTACAGCAATGAAACTGAATTTATTTAGGAAGTAGAAAAAAGAGGAGAATGTTTCCATTTCAAGACAGGAGAATAAAAATATTCAAAGGAAAGAGAACAATGAATAAAGCAATCAAAGGAAGCAACTATCTTCAGGATGAAAAGGCAGATGAATATCTCTGTATATAAATATACATACAACAATGATAAAAACTGTCAAAATAAAGGAAATCTACATTCAAATAAAAGCATTAACTAAGTGGTACTGTATAAATTGCTGCATTTGACAATCTTTGTCTTCCAAGAATTTAAAATCTAAAAATGGCTCCCAAAGAGAACTATTATTAAATTTGGGATAGGAAAATCATTTATTTAATCTTCACTACATTTCAAATAAAACTAGCTTAACTCTTATTTCCTAATTATATATGCTAGGAAAAAAATAGCATTATAAAGAATGGGGGAAAGAAACAAGGCAAAGAAGGGCTTGTCTCAGGAAATATAACAGTGAGTAAAAGTAACTGTGAGATGGCAGAGGCCACAGATAACCATTCCTGAGTAACATATAACAATCCTACAATAGTGAGTTTTGAGACTGGAGATAAAACAGCCAAAATCTCTGGTTAGAGAGGTCTTTTTCGATAGCAAAAATATCTGCAAGATTTTATGTATCTTATTATGTAGCAAGGAAACTGTTCAGCTTTTGTAAGTATATTAAATCAGGCAGTTTGCATAAAGTTAGGTTAAAAAATATCTGGAATCTAGTACTAGAATACCTTTCCAGTCATTAGGGAAACTCTTCTCTCATTAACCTACCATAATTACCAAGTGCCTGCAAAGAATTGATATGTGCTGATGATAGGGTGAGAGGATGGAAGGATGGTTGAACGGGGACCCTAAGACAACAGTGGAAGGAAGGAGGCACTCTGGTGGAGGGTCTGGTGTTGGAACAGTGAATGTATAAACTCTTATTGATAACAATATGTAAAGCTTGGTCCTTAGAATTTAAACGATTTAAGCACACAAAAAAACCCAAGCAGAAAACTTTGAGTTTCTTCTTTATGTACCAGAGCTTAGACTCTGACAGCCTGAATATCAAGGTCATGACTCAGCCTACACCATAGAAGTCCCATAGCTCTACTAAATTTGGAACTGAGTAGAGACTGCTAGCTGCATGACTTAACAAGAGATTTTTAAAAATATCAAGAAATTAGAACCATCTATAGAATTTCTAAGCTATATTAAAGGTACCAAAGTCCAAGATCCTGGTTAAGTTCTATGTATTTTAGGTAGCATTCTGCCCCACTCAAAAAACATCAACCTGTTTTTAAAGGGGGAATACAGGGGCTAGAAAAACAGTGCTGTGTATATGGCATTTGCCTTGCAAGCAGCTGACCTGGGTTCAAGCCCAAGTACTCCATGTAGTTCCCCCAAGTCCCACCAGGAGTGATTTCTAAGCATAAAGACAGAAGTAAAGCCTGAGCACAGTTGGACTGGCCCCCAAACAAAAACAAGTCAAATAAAATACAAAGGAAATTCACCATATGATTGATGTAAAATACTTTTTATTAAATGGCCCAGCAAGATAACAAAATGAGAATTTTGTTGCTTTTTAAAAGACATTTGCAAGTAACTATTTTTATTCGCAAATAATTTTTTTGGACTGCAGAGAGATAAATCACCATTGACTTAAGAGATGAAATACATTCTAACAGGTCCTGAAGTCTATTTGCCAGCATATCCATCTACTCTATCATTGACAGAAATTCTGCCTAGCCTTTTCCTTCCTAAGCCCGGAGTTTAATTCTTCCAAGAAAGCCAATTCCACACTGGTAGGGATTTATTGTTTGTTTTGTTTTGTTTGGGGGCCACACCTGGTGCTGCTGAGGGCTTACTCTTGCCTCTGCATTCAGGGATCTCTCCTGGCCAGGCTTGGGGAACCAATCATATGGGGTGCTGGGGATGAAACCTGAATCTGTCACATGTAAGACAAGCCCCTTCTTACTGTAGTATAGCTCAGACCAGGTAGGGATTTCTATTTAGTAGAAATTCCTTTCTCAGATACATGTAAAGTTTTATATATATGTTAGTTATGGCTTCCTCCATGAGCTTCTACCTGCCTCTGAGGTTCCATGCTCAGAAAGGCTGTGCTTGGTTTAACTGGTTTAAATATGTGGTTGAGCTGGAGCGATAGCACAGCAGTAGGGTGTTTGCCTTGCACGCAGCTAGCCTGGCCGAGCCGGGTTCAATACCTCCACTCCTCTCGGAGATCCTGGCAAACTACCAAGAGTATCTCGCCCGCATGGCAAAGCCTGGAAAGCTACCCGTAACGTATTCAATATGCCAAACACAGTAACAACAAGTCTAAAAATGGAGACGTTACTGGGCCCGCTTGAGCAAATCGATGAACAATGGGAGGACAGTGTTTGTTTGTTTAAATTTGTGGTTACTCTTCTGTAGTGACCACCTGAAATTCTCAACTTTTTAAAAAATGTTATTTTCCAAAATGGGAGACTAACACCCAGGAATGCCTGAGATTAGTACCAGGAATTTTGCTCCATGACTTGGAGGCCAGCCACACGTGCTAGGGGAAAAGGAAGCTCAGATAGAGAAGAGAGCACCAAATAAAGGGTGTTGTGAGGATCCTCCCAGGGTGGGAGAAGCATGCTGAAAGTAGTCTATAGACCAAACATGATTGCCACTCAATGCCTCTCTTGCAAAACACAGGACCCAAAAGAAGAGAGAGAGAACAAAGGGGAATGCCCTGCCACAGAGGCAGGGTGGGACGGGGGGGATGGGGGTGGGAGGGATGCTGGGACCTGTGGTGGTGGAGGATGGGCACTGGTGGAGGGATGGGTACTTGATCATTGTATAACTGAAACCCAAGCACGAAAATTTATAAGTCTATAACTGTACCTCATGGTGTTTCACTAATAAAAAAAATAAAATAAAAAATGTTATTTTCATTCCACACTAGATCTCTCAAATTATGTAGCCAA